GAGTTCGGTTCCCGGTACCGGAGAAAAACCAAAAAAAAAAAAAAAAAAAAAAAGAAATATAGGCAAACTACCATTAGCTTTATGATATACAAGATATTATGTTGGCCAGGTAAGGTGGTATATGTCTGTAATCCCAGCTACTCAGGTGACTGAGACAGGTGGATCACACGTTCAAGGACAATGGGCCAATTTAAAGGGATCTTATCTGGGGGGTGGGGGCGGATAAGTATAGTTTAGAGTGCTTCCCGTGCTCAATACCCAGTACCACTCCCCCTCAAAAAAAGATGTTGCTTTGGTTTATGATTTTTAAAAACATGTATGATATACAAATCTGTACCAGAATCTTGAATTGAGCATTATACCTTTATGGCACGAGACAATCAAAGTCTTTTTTTTTTTTTTTTCTTTTTGAAAGTACTAGGGATTAAACCCAGGGAACATTGAGCTACCTCCCGGGCATTTTAATTTTACTTTGAGACAATGTCTTGCTAAATTGTCCAGGTTGACCTCAAAATTATGATCCTCCTGCCTCAGGTCCCCAAGCAGCTGAGATTGCAGGGTGCACCATTACAGCCAGCTCAAGGTCTTAATTCTTATGGCAACAAAATGCTTGAGCCTCAATTATAGTAAACTTTAAGAATCCACTATCCTCAAATTGCTACACCATCTATTTATTAACAAAAGACTATGGTTTCCACAACGTGATTTATTCAGTAAGTATTAAATAAACACCAAAATCACAATGCCGTTTTGCTTGAAGAAGTTCCCATATATTAAAATGCTTCAAAGTATCTGGGAATATGGCTACACATTCCTGTGTGCAAAATCCCGTTACTGTGCCCCACACACTGCAACAGAAGATCTATGACAAAATATTAAGTGCATTTCTGTAAATCACTTTACATTTTATAAAAAAAAAGTCCTTTTGTTCCTTTTAGAAAAGGTTAATTTTTTCCATTAACAAAAAAATATCTTTGTAAGGCAAATGAATGCCCACACCTCAGGTTCATCAGTTGTGTAAACTCAGGGTAAGAAATTTCTTTAAGGAAACACACTGAGTCTAATAAGATTATAAAAATGGGACTGATCTTCACACTCCTAAACCAGGAGCTGTTTTACAGCTCAATACAAACAATGTAAATTGAGACCACAATTGCTAAAGACAAGTAAAGAATAATCCAGATCAGCTGATTTGAACTGAGTATGAAGGACACCCGCTACGTGAAAACTGACAGAAGGAAGGGATTACCCAAGACAGGTAAGAGTCATTATATGTTCAAAGGTACACAGAAGGAACAACTGCAGAACTTTAATGTTAAAGGAGTATTAACAGATTATATAAAATGAGAAAAAGAAGAAATTATGAGCTAGTTTTTAATAGTGAATTACTTCATGAAATTGACAACTGGTAATAATTGAAGGAAAAGTGTTTCAACAAGGAGTTCTCTATCAAAGAACGTGTCACAGGTTACAGAGAGAAGAGGGAAAAATATTCATCTGTTCGTAAGTATCAGTCACATTTCAGGAGACGGACACCAAACTTTAGTCATCATCTGCTTTGGGCTGGGAAAATCCTATATGTAAATTCAAATAATAAGCTAAAGAAAAGCTCATAATATAGTATAGTTATATACCATAGGGCTAAGGATCTAGCTCAGTGGCAGATCTTGCTTAGTATATACAAGGACATAGATTCAATCCCCAGCACCACAAAGAAAAATAGTAAAAGATTATACAAGATGGACAGTTTATATGATATAGAAGTCATATAAAACCCTAATTTCAGGGTAATACTGGAAAGGATATAGAGTCATTAATAGAGGTTTCTAAGGGAAAGAATATAAAACTAAAATGAGATTTAAAATTTTACACCTGTGTTCATTCATAAACTAAGAAATTTATGCTACTCCGAGTTTCTAAATCAAAAACAAAACAAATTCACCAAAAAACAGTAACCCAAATACTTACCATATTGTTAACATTCTTTAAGATAGTAGTGAGGCCGCTTATAACCAAAGAAAACTTGTATTTGGAAATATTGATTAGACACTCCTTGTTGTGTTCAGTACTGACTTTGGTATGGGTATTTTGCTGTCCTGTTTTTATTGGAAGCTGAGGAAGGAAAAAAGGTTAAGAGTTTACCTTTCAAAGTGACTAAAAGTAACTTTTCTCACTGAAAATAATGACATTTTAGGAAATGACAGTTTATCATTGATCAGTGACAGTTACCTATATTTCTATCACAGGGCTCCAATTTTTAATATTTAATAGTTTATAAAAGCTATTAAATAGATATAACTATTAAAAAACATCTTTGGAAATTTCATTTTTGTGTTTCTCTTTCTGAGATCATAAATCTTTATCTATAAAATTAACCCTTTTACCTAGCACTATATAGGAAAGAATGGATGACTCCTAGAAAGAGCTATTTCCTGGTAGCCAAAAATTAATTCAGAGAATATCTTCAATTAAATGCACACAATTTTTTCCCTTATACACTAAACTCAAACATTAAAAGAAGAGTTTCAGAAAAATCTATGCTCTGGACACTATTGATCAGTTTATATGATATAGAATCAATAATGGCAATCAATAATCAATAATGGCAAATAATTGACAATTATTCAGCAATAAGAACAAACTGTAAAACCTAGGACGGAGTTAAGACTGAAAAAAGATAACCATGATCAGCTACCCAACTGAAGGAATACAAAACAAATATATATCATAGGAAAAAATATCCTTTAAAGGGATAACATTAACATTGATGTGAGAATGAGTTATGTCACATTGTCTATAAATTCATCTCTGATCTGTCCAAAAGTAGCATTCTGTACATAAAGTATCATGAATATATTTAGACTTTGCTAAGATGGGATGTGGCTCAGCTGTAGACTGCTTGCCTAATATGTTCTCATCCCTGAGTTTGATCCCCTGTGTGCGTGCGTGTGTGCATGCGTACACACTGCTAATGCTAACACAAACATCCTGCTAATGCTGACAAGAGAACTCTGGTAAGGTTTTGTGAAAACCAATAAACCAACCAACCTAAGTCCAACTATCAATTTGAAAATAGTACAAAAAAGGAAAGAGAGCAAATGAGATCTGAAATTTGCTAAGTCAATAAGAAGTAATTAACTTGACAGTAAAGAATAAAGGGGGTATGTTTTAGGGAATAGGGGAGCAAGCAGAAGAAAAGCTACAGAATTACATGATGTTAATTATAAAGACTGAAGAGGGGAAAAAAACCTCAAAGTCCAAAAAAGGGTGACAATGTAGCTTGTCAATCTTCCCAGTGCTCCCCCATAGAACGGTAAAGAGATCACAATAGTAAAATTATAATTCAAAAACATCTACATTAAAATGAGTATACCACCCTCTGCCCAATAAAGTAAAATCAAACACTGCAATAACAACAAATCACAAGTTCGAGCCCAGCCTGGACAACTTAGCCACACTCTGTCTCAAAGTAAAAAAAAAAGGGGGGGGCTGCAGACGTAGCTCAGAGAGCAGGCCCTTGGTTCAATCCCAAGAATTGCAAAAAAAAAAAAGGTAAAAGAAACGAAACAGTAGAATGAAATGCAAAACAACTTGGCAAGCTTTTAGACTGGTTACCTTTAGAGAATGAATGGAAATAAAGTAGAGATGACAAGGAGAAATAAGAACTATACAGTAAAAACTCTCTAGTCTTCAATTTGAATTGAAAGCACCTATATAAACTCTTAATGTACTTTATTTTTATGAAGAAAATAAAACAAATTTTTGCCTATATCCACAGAAAATGCCCAGAAACTATGATCAATCCCATAGTAATAAACATCTCTACCCAACTGTAATCTTCAAATACTATTTCTGCATAAAAGTAACCAGGACTCCTTTAGGAAATGGCTGATTCAATGTCTGGGACAAAAAGGTACATGATGAGCCCAGAACATTTTGTCATACCAGACAGCAACACAGACTAGTAAGGTTCAAATCAGAAAGATTCAGGAATGAACTCTAAATAGGCTCCACTCACCAAAAATAAAATAATTTTAAAACTGACATGGACAGCAGCTTTAATTTATTAAAGCATATAAGTATGTCCATACTTCTGCTTCCATATAGAATAATTTACAGCAAAATATTCCATTTTATTTTTTAAAAAATGAAATATATAAATCATCTGTTTGTAAGATTTCAGAGAGCTACTGAAGGAATGAGAACTAAAAAGGCTAAGATTCCAAAAAGGGGTAAACTACAAAGAAGTAAGGTCATCTTCAATAGCCGCTTTTTCCCCGGGGCATTTACAGATCTGGACAGAAAAAGAAATAAGATCATTCGCAGGCAAAGTACATTGGCCAAGGAAAAGAGAAACCATCAAGAAGTCTAGTGGCCACTGAGGACTACAGTGGTAAAATTGAGGAGATGGGGATTTCAAATACGTAAGTGAGTGGAAGAAGGTAAAAGGCTAGGACAAAAATTTCTGAGAAACACAGAAATTTGCAAGTCTTACAGTTCTAGGAAGGCAAGATTATAGTTAAGAACCTGGTAGTGGGGGGATCTTGGTAAATACATACAATAGTCAGTTATAAGCCTTGAAGGGCTACAGCCTCTACAAATAGGTGCAACCACAGCAACTAGAACTCTTAATATGCTACCAGGAGTATGAATTAGTAATATCTTTGGAAATAGCATTGTCTGCTAAAACCAGCCATACTCACTCAGCAATTTTACTAGGTGTAACAAAAACACTAACATATTCACCAAAAGACATGTACAACAAAGTTTACAGCAGCACTTTCTATAATTTCCTGGAATTGAACATAATCCAAATGTCTATCAACACTATGGTTTAAAAAAAAATAGTATATTAATACAAAGAAAAACTACACAGCAATGGAAATGACAAAATGTAAGTTTAATTTCACAAAAATAAGGAGGGGTAGAAAGTTGGGACAAAAGAGATACTGTATGGTTACGGTTGCAAAAATATACCAAAATCATCCTGTGATTTTAGAAGAAAAGATAGTACAGAACCTTGAAAATAGTGGCTGGAAGGAAACAAGGCAAGAAGGGGTCCACTGGAATGCCAAAAATGGTTTACTTCTTCACTTAGGTACTGGTTACACTGATGTGTTTATTTCGTGAACATTTAAACTGTATGTATGCAATTTGTACTCACTGTTACATGTATAAGTCAACAGAAAGTTTGCTAAATATTTACTTAAATCCATGGGTTCCTAAAACTATTAAAAAACAAAAAACAACTGGTCCCTTGGTGGATACAGAAGATTTGTGGCAGACATTGAGGTGCTGCCCACCATCCCCTTCATGGAAGACTTGTCATCTTAACTATGGGAAGCACTGTCATTCAGCCCCTTCAGGGACTACCTCACCTGCAGAGCAGGCTCTGGCCTAAAGTCCCATCCTTTCCAGGAAGCTCACATCCAATGACTAATTGATATAAAATACAAAACTATTCTACTCCAGAGCTCCTCATAGCAGGGCTAACCAAAGGTGATGCAGAATTCATGGTATGGTGCACTCAGCACCTGGCCAATGATCTTGTCTCCCAGATGCTGATCCCAAAGGAAGGCCCTAGCAAAGTCTACGGTTCCAGGGCAGTAAGCAGCAGGTGCTAAAATGAGATTTTTAGATTGGCAATGAAAGAGAAACAGTAACTACAGAACGATGGACTAGAGCAGTGGTATACTCCTGTAATCCCAGCTACTTCAGAAACTAAGATGGTTAGCCTGGGCAACATAATGAGATGCTGACCCAAAAAAACACAACAGAATCAGAAGAATAGTGTTAAATTCTCAGAGCTCTGAAGAAAAAGATCTCTTTAAAAAAGATGATTAACTACCAAATAAAAGCTAAGTTTGACGGCCAGGCCAGAGCGCCTCTTCTGTAGGAAGAGGACAAGAGAAATCTAAGGACAAGAACCAGTGCTTAATTATCATCCATTCATTTATATGTAAATATAATACAAATAGTACAGAAATAATTTATTATAACATATATTATAAATACAATTATCATCCATATATATCCATTCATTTATATGTATATATAAAGGCATGTCTATAGACATATCAAATGTAGAGATATAGGTGGATATATCTATCTATATCTCCATGTTTACATGCTGAGCTTCAAAGAAAGTTGAACTCCCAAACAAGGAAGTCTGTTATGCCACGATCAAGGGCCTCCATGGAAAGCGTAAAATTGACACATGGAATGAAAACATCTAGGTTGATGCTCCCCAAAATAATGTATTCTTCAATTCTCCAGGATCTTCTGAGTCCATAGAAGTGGCCTATCATTGCCTACTTAAGAATGAGCACTCCCCAAACTTATTTAAGAGACTTCTCTCCTGAAAGACAGTATATGACTCGTCCTTCCCAGGATTTGCCTCTGCCTCCCTTTCAAAGACAGGTATGAAGGAAACTTGGCGGTATGAAACATCCTGTAACCCAGGTATGGTGATGCTCACTGCCAAAATTCAAACTATACATATAATGGATAAATGTTACCATGCACAAATTACATACCAATCTTTTAAAATATGACATCAAAGAGCAATTCTAACTAATATTTATTGACTCTCTTATTTGCTAGCTAGAAATGCAGATCTTTGGACACAAAAAATGAGTAAACAGGGACAGGTATGGTGGCACACACCTGTAATCCTAGCACTTAGAAGGTTAAGGTAGGAGGATCACTGTGAGTTCAAGGAGAGCCCAAACTGCATAGTGAAACGCTCTCAAAAAGACCAAAAAAAAAAAAAACCAGTGAACACACCCTCTAGATAGGAGTAATTCTGAAATTCTGTCAAAACCTCTCTCTTCTCTGAACACAGTTTTTCTTGGGCAATTTCATGTATTTGCTGACTGTCCTGGTAATAGCTACTATGACAACTGCTAACAACTAAGCCCCCAAGAGTCCCACTCTCTGGTGCACATCCTGTTACAGTCCTCCCCTTGAGTTTCACAAACACTTGCAAATATGATGGGACTCACTGCATGATTGTTACACTATATAGCAAGACTTTGCATATATAAGTAAGGTTCCTAATAAGCTGATCTGAGTTAATCAAAGGAATACTATGAGCCAGGTATGCTGGCACA